AACAAACAAATATGAAGCTAACAATCTTTATACTGTTAGTCATCATTTGGGGCTATTCAGTAGTGCAGAGTTGCAAGAAATGAATCTGTTCCTTTAAATTCCTTGCAGTTCTGCTTGTTGGATAAGAAATCCATCCTCCTCCCCCTCTTCCTCACTTTTCTTCCAGACTGGAGATGTAAGGACTCAGCTGAGATGTCGTCTTATTAGATCTATTGATTGTAATCACTATCTCAGAATTTACAGTAACTGAATTGGAGAACAGTGCAGTAGTTTCGTGAATGTCCAAATAAATCCACAAACACAGGCTGACTATTAATTCTTTTTTTATTAAAAAAAACGTGCTGAGCTAATATGACAAACTAGGTTAAATTGGCTAATCTAGGTCAGAAGTTATTATTGCATAACACACTGAATCAACCTGGTCACCCACGTTTCAGCCTAACATGCTTGCAAAACTTCCTTGTCTGTTTAGGTTAATATTTTTTGTGAACCCAAGAAACTGGATATGTGTCAGGTCTGCCATCTTTGGCTTGGCGCCTTGCTGGCATCCTGCCATCAAAGGCCAGGAGGGAGGGGGCATGGGTGGGAGGACAAATGGGCAATAATCATGTATGGGGATATGATGGAAATTAGGGAGAGGGAATGATAGCTTGAGGAAGACCTGGGAAGCATATCTCAGGATTTCTCAGAACACCTATGCAGCTCTTTGTAATCTAAAGATGAACGGGTCATGGAGGGAGAGCTAGGATGAGTGAAAAAATTTGTAACTTTTCACATGGGAAATTTAGTTCTAGCCTGACTTTACTGCAGCCAGCAACCTTTAGTAAAAGAACCTATCACTTCACCCAAATGGAGTCGAGGATCTTTCTTTCCCAAGGGACCTGATAGGATTAGGGTTAGGGTCTAGCAATAAGATCTAGCAATGAGTTTGGTCTAGTGATTAAGGCACTTGGCCAGAAAGCATGAGATAATGAATTCAAGTCCCACTTTAGTCATGAAAGCCAGCACAGTGATCTTGGGCCAGTCAGTCTCTTGCCAGTGAGGCCAACTCACTTCACAGAGTTGTTGTTCTGGGGAAAATAGGAGGAGGAACATGTGTTGGATATGTTTTCCATCTTGACTTATTTGTAAAAATAATAAAGGTGGAATATAAATAAATAAATATTATTTATTAATTAAACCATGGATAAGCATGTCATCTGAATACAACCAGAGGTTTTAGAATAGAATAGAATAGAATAGAATAGAATAGAATAGAATAGAATAGAATAGAATAGAATAGAATAGAATAGAATAGAATATTTTATTGGCCAAATGTGATTGGACACACAAGGAATTTGTCTTGGTGTAAATACTCTCAGTATACATAAAAGAAAAGATACATTCGTTAAGAATCAAGAATCATAACGTACAACACTTAATGATAGTCATAGGGTACAATCAGCAATCAAATCATACTAGGAAACAGTCAATATAAATTGTAAGGATAGAAGCGACAAAGTTACAGTTGCACAATCACAAGTGGGAGGGGATGGGTGATAAGGAGTGATGAGAAGATCAACAGTAATAGTAGTGTAGACTTTGTAATAGGTGGACAGTGTTGAGGGCATTATTTGTTTAGCAGAGTGATGGCTTTCAGGAAAAAACTGTTCTTGTGTCTAGTTATGCAGTGCTCTATAGCGTCGTTTTAAGGGAAGGAGTTGAAACAGTTTATGTCCGGGATGTGAAGGGTCTGTAAATATTGTTTGTGTATGCCTGATTTATGGTGTTTTGAACCCAGGAGATTAGGTTGGTTTACTAAACCATTAGTCAGTTAAACATGTGTTAGCGTGTTGTGTGAAAACAACCTAAGATCTTCACGTTGCATAGTGACTCCCTTTTGCCTTGTCTGCCAAATGTTGACTGGTCTTGGACTCAAGACTAGCTGGTTTTTTTTGTAAAGAAATAAAAAATATTTCAGTGATATTTTACCACTGGGTCTGAGAATGACAGCAAGTGCTTCATGGATGGCCTGTCCTCTGCAAAACAGATGTGCAGTTATTTTTTGAACAGTATTACTTCTGGCAGTTTATTGTTGATGAACCATATCAATTTGCCGCTGATATACAATGGAAAGAAGCTTAGAGCTGGTTTATATAAACACTGATCTGGAGCTCTGAATGCATTCAAAAGCAGTGTCAAGAATCATTCTTCTTGTTACTACTCAGGTGGAAACAATTGGATTTCTGTCCTGAGAAATCAAATGGCTTTTTAAAGTGCAGATGAACCATCTGGGATCAAAGTTCCCCTTATTGCTAGTTCAGGCCTTTTTTAACCTGAAAAAAAGTAGAGCTATGGATTGAACTTTTTGCAAAAAGGATTTGTTTTATCAAGAAGTTTCTGTTTCCAACTTATGAAGATAAGATATAAAAGCCAGCGAATGTTTCAGTTTTGAATTATTAGAGATGAGCAGGCTCGGATGATAACTCTCTTGGACTGTTTTTGTCCAGCAAGCAGCCTTCAGCATTACATTGCCTCTAATCCTGGAAGCAACATTTTATCTCCCAAATAACTCTCTAATCTGTGTAGCCTCTGATCCTTGTGAATTGAAACCTCCCTCCCTACTACTGTATCCATTTGTGAGGAACTTCACTTGCCTCTGGAGTAGAACAGAAACGATATGCTGGAATAGTTTACTTGTTCTTTAGTCACAGAAAAATCTAATAAGGACAAACATAACTATTTGGTAGGTAGAAGATCCTCATAAAATCCAGAAAAGCAATGTTGGCCAATATACTTTGATTTTTCCCCAGAAAAATGGCACCAATGTTGTTGGAGAGGCAAGCAAGTATTTAAGTCCTTGATCTTACAGTATTAAATATGTTGAGAAATTCTACCTCAACCATTTTTCCTCAGATTTGAAATCATATTTCTATGGAAACTGTCTATCACAATCAAAACAGTGAAAATGTATTACAGGAAGAAAATGAATACATTACCAGATTACTGTATATATAACACAGCAAAACATGTTTTCTATTAGCTCACTGTCTTGTGCTATTCTGGCTTCTAGCAGCACTGCACATTGGTGGTGCATTCATTTCAATATTTCTTTAAAAGGTAACATTTAATTTTCTGCTGGGGGGATGGAAATGATTTGCTCTGTTTTGCCAATGAAGAGAGAGTAGGATTAGCTATTTTAACATCTCTTTGCATATGTGCCATGGAACATAGTATTATCATCCACCTGGTAAAGTCTGGAACTGGGACATTTACTTCAGCAAGTTTTCTGTGGAATGGCCATATTTGATACAGCTTGAGTTTAGTTAAGATGACTGCCAATGGCAAGCAGAGAGAGGCATCACAGTCAGGAGAAAAAGAACCTACAAAAGAATACGTGCCACCTTATCATACAAAATGCAGTTTACAACAGCTACTACAGGGCACTACAGGGTACTACTACAGCAGCCAATAATTTTAAAAAATCTAAATAAAGTGCAAAATATTTTACACTCTCTAATTGTTAATGTTTATACAACAATTTCTGTTTTCTGATATTTAGTAAATATTTGTTCCCATTTAACCTTTTATATTATGACAATTAGTTTATGTTGCAGATGGCTAATGATGTCTTGGAAACTATGGGTACTATCTGTGTATGTACGTTAAGTATATGTAAACGTAATACATGTGCATATATAAATAAAGCTACCTGGAATGGAAAGTCACAACATCATATATTGAAAAGAACTAAAACATAATTTTTTGCTCAGTATAAGAAATTCAGTACTAGAACATTTGAAACAGAGGACTGAAGAGGGATAGCTCATTACCCTCTAAGAAATTGTTACATTGGACAGTTTCTTTTAATGTCAATTGAAGTCTCCTCTTCTGCAAATTTAGTTCTGTTAGTCTAATTCCGTTGTCTGCATAGGCGCAGAACAATATTTGTCATTATATGTATGACAGTACTATAAGTATTTGATGAAAGTTTAATCTCCCATTCAATAATCTCTTCTCCAGATGATTGTAGTGCAGCTACAACTTTTATATGCTCTATGATTTATTGTATTTTTGTTTATGTTATGACAGATTTTTCCCTTTGAGTTGCATGTTGTGTACATTACTTTGCGATATTTTAATATGAATTCAATGTAGAAATATATTTTAAAAATTAAATATATGGATACACTTAATTCATTCAGCTTTTCTTCATAGGATTTATTACTTAAACTGCAACTCCACAGTCACCTTATAGGGGAAATGGACAGCTTAAATATTTAATCAATAATAATAATAAATTTTGTCAGGAGATAGGCAACTCACAGGCATATTTGATATTCTCAACATTTCCAAAGCTCTCAAAAAATAGCAAATTTCTGCTATGCAATTTTCAGGCTCACCTACTTTTTAAAAATGAAATAAATATAAATAAAGGAATTAAGCCTCTTGTAAGTTTAATTCACTTATTTTGTGTTTGACTTTTCACCAAACATATGGGGACACGTGGAATTAAAGGCCAATTTTGTCTTCTGATGGTGGCAATGTGGACCTCAGATAAGATAATATAGATGGATGACCTAAAGTTTGTATGTAATCTCCAATATCCTATCTTCCTCGGATTCTTCCAAATTTTGATGACAGAATGACTGAATTTCCATAATTATGATTTTTCTGTGATTTCCTCCCCAAAATTATAAAGTTTAAAAACTATTCTCATTTCTTCCTTCAAATCTTCCCAAGCCCCCAGATAGGGGTGAATTTCTTCTAAGAAGTTTCCCACTATAATTCTATTTCTATTCATAACCCCCCCTGCGTCAACCCCCCAGAAAATACGATGAAGTTATCCAGCTATCAGATGGCTTCCTGTGGCCTTCCAGAAGATTGTAAAGCAAGATTTCAGCTCTTCCAACATTGCCTACCTGCTAATGCAAATCTATGGAAGATTCTTTGTGACTGCAGTATTTATGCCAAGATGATTGTCAGAATCTCATAATGAATATCACATGAAAACAACTTACCAGCCTGCAACCAGATCTGTTCAAGAGTTGTCCACAGCTGAATAGGCCCTTGCTTTGAGGCAGAACTCTGCATAGTTATTTCTGACATGGCCTGTTCCAGTCGTGATGCTGCAATGGAAGATGCTCGCTGGGAGCCTACAATGTAGAAAATAATACTAATTAAATAAATATGATGTAATGAACCATTTAAATACATCCAAAGTGAGGCAATTTCCTTATTGTGACCAACTAAATACAGTTTATACAGTAAGCTTTTGAGGTTAACAATGTAATTCAAATGATGGTATTTGGCTAATGAAAAAGTCTAAAGCAGTTTCTTATTCCTGGAAATCATTATTAGCCTTAATGGTAGTGCGACTGTGTCTGAAGGCCATCTCCCGGGAAACTAGTGGACTTCCTTGTGCAGAGGATTGGCCATTGCAAGAACAGAGTGCAGTTCTCCTGCAGGGCATTGTTTATGCCCTTGTGTACTTCCAAATCAACAATGAAGCAGCATTACCAAAATAAAAATAAAAATGCTGCTACGTGTACTCTGAATTGTCTTTTCTTTTCTTTTTTTGTAAATCTTCACAAGCATTCCAACATTGCCACCTATTAAATTGAATTCTGAGGTTGCAGTATATTATAAAGCAGATATTTTCCTCATACATTAAATCCTAATTTTGCAATTGTAAAGGCTAGGAGTTTGTGACTTTATAATTTAAACTATAGTTCATAAACCAGGAAGCAATCGCATATTCTGTAGGCATGAACAGTCTCAGATGCAATTTTTAGAATTTCAGGACTCCAAACATAAGAAAGGGAACTATGCCCAGAAGCTTAGAAGGCCACTGCCAACGAGGACTGGACTGGAATATGTGGATAGTCTACAGGGGCTGGACTGGGTGGTAGCACAATTTTGTGCTGGTTTGGCTTCTTTCTTCAACATTGGTCCCAACTGATGTTAGTAGGAGGTGAGAGATCTTGGGACATGCTACAGGGCTCAGTACTCTCTCCACTCCTTTTTAACATCGAATTGAAGCCATGGGGTGAGATAATCTATCACTTTGGGTTAGGTATCTGCAGTATTCTGATGATGCCCAACCTTTTTTTTACTCCTAATGACCCAAGTGATGCTCTTGCTACCCTCTTTTGGTACTTGGGGACCTGGAAGGGGGGACAACAGGGTTCAATTGAACCCTGGCAAGACCGAATGATTTTGGATGCACAGAGCCCCAAGATTCAGGTCTTCTTCATCTTTGACTCTGGATAGTGTGGGATTACTCTTGACAGATCTGGTCTGCAACTTGGGGGTTCTCCTGGATTCACACCTGCTGCTTGAAGAGCAGATGGCAATCACTGCTAGGAGAGCCTTTGCATAACTTTGTGTTGTGTGCCCGTTGCTGCCTTTTCTGGATCAGAAGTCTCTGCCCTTAGTCATTCAGGCCCTAATCATCTCATGGTTGGACTATTGTAATGGACTCTACTTGGGGCTACCCTTGAAGAGCATTCAAAAGCTAAAGCTGGTGCAGAGTGCAGCGGCATGGATAGCTCTTGGGGTCTGAAAAAGGGTCTCTGTAACACATGTTCCATGAGCTGCATTGGCTGCCAGTCTGCTTCCAGATGCATTTCAAAGTGTTGATAATCTCCTTTAAAGCTCTTCATGGCATAGATCCAAGTGACAAGGGACTGTCTCATCCCACTGGGATTGGCCTGTCATACCCATGCCAGAAAAGGAGGCATGCTGTGAGTCCCATTGGCCCAATTTATTCCAGTTAGTGGGCCCTGAAATAGGGCCTTCTCTGCCACTGCATCTGTCCTCTGGAACATCTTGCCTGTCTTGTGAGGTTGACCCCAAACCTCCTGACCTAAATAATAAGAGCCTAAAGACCAATGGGGGAGCATCAGCATGGAGGTGGTTAATTGATTAATAACAGATCCCACCTCTCCCCCGACCCTGCGCCTGCTTCCCTCCCTCCCTCCCTCCCTCCCTCCCTCCCTCCCTCCATCCATCCATCGCTATCTAGCTATTCATCCTTTAAACTTTTATGATTGTAAGCACTCAGAGTTACCCTGTGGTAAGATAGGTGGCCAATAAATTTTATACATACTTACATACATACATACATACATACATACATACATACATACATACATAGCATGTTTTTAAGAATATAGATTGCATTGCTCTGTACCACATTCGGAGAGGAATTTAGTTTTTGTAAACTTGTGAACTACCATTTCTTTTGCTGTAGTTAGGTAGAGTCTTAGACTACTCATTTGAACTACTGTTCAAACACAGATATATTTTTGTCATAAAACAAGTAGCTACTGAAATCTAAGCCCACTAATTATCCCCTGAAGCTCAAATTCTTGTTTACACAGCCTTCCTACTAAGCAAAAAAGAGAAAATTCTTCTATCAAATATGAAATAAGGTGAAACATAAACCATCATCATCAGATAGTGGTAAGTCATCCATTACATGAGGAATATTGCTTTAATGTTGGACAAATTGTGGCTTATCCCTACAATCATGGAGAAATCCCAGAAAACAAAAAAGGAGCCCCAAGGATCTGGGGAATGCCATGGTGTTCATGTTCCCCGGTCTCTCCCTAAAGTTCCTGATTGCTGCGAAGCACATTCCACATGGCCTAGATAAGAAGAGCCTAATCATATCTCAGTACAGCTATACTCAGGGCAACATGAAAGCACACTTCATGAATGCACATAAATTCCCCTCAGGCTTGTTGCAGAATTTATGACCCTCAGCTTTCAGTAGCTAGCTCATTTCTAAGAAACACATCAAGGCTTGGCTTTTTTTCTATCTTCCAACTGGCTTCCTTCTGCATCTTATTTTGTTGTAAATCAACTTGAAAAACCATTTGATCAAAAGGCAAGTTGTCGATTTGAAATCAAATATACTTCAAATATAACATTCAGTACTGTAACTATACCAAGACTCATTTGCTCAGATGGCATTTACTAGAATTTATAGATTTCTATCCTGACTTCGCAATTCTTATACTCTTACTGTGTAACATTACCTCAATTGTGCAATAATAATTTCAGTTACTGGAGAGATGGAGCCACCAGGAAAAATTAAGACTGCAAAGGCAAAATAAAACTGCATCCTGTTTCTTAAGAATAAATCCTACCAGTCTTGCCTCTGCCTTCCAGGAAAGAGCAGACTTTCTCCTGTAGGCTCCAGTCTCCTGAAAATGGCCTTGAGGGGGGGATAAAATTAAGAGTTTTTTATGGCATTGAATATCTGGACACAAGAGCCTAGAAAAGGATGCCTTGCAATAATTTTATCCATTTTTAATCATTCTAAAGAATAATGAAAGATCATAGAGAGTCAATCTGGACCTCAAAGTTTTCTATCGTTGCATTGGAACTTGGAAACCCTGAGATTATTTGCAGAAGCCATAATATGCACAATTTCCTTGCTTCCCTGGACTTCACTCTACACTCTTTATTCCCACTAACCTCTTTACTGAAGATGTGTCAAATTCACAAACAGCAACAATCAGTTGAAATTAAAGTACTACTTTTGGGTTGATGTTGACCTCTCAGATCTTCACTAGACTGTTGTCAGCCCTCTTTGCGAACAGCTATATCTGAGCATGTGCACACTTATAATTTCTTGATCAGAGGTCCATCAAAAATAAGATTTTATTCAACAGTTTATTTAGTAACTGTTGTTTGGTCTACATGAATATGGGTTTGAATTTATGGATGTGATTATCACATCTTGAAGGTAAGCTTCAAGGTTGATTATGTAGAGAGAATCCGTCGGATACACTTCTGTAATTTAATTGCACATTCCTGCTATGTCTGCAAGTCAGCCAACCATTTTAACTAGTTCAGCATTTATGAGACATTATAAAATAGACAGATGTGGCCTTTAATAATACTGAATTGCAATTTCTTTATCCCTGGGTGACATGGCTATACTTTTCAACAATATTCCTGGGAACATTGTTAGAACACATAAATAATTCTGATAGATTAGATTTTCCTAATCCAGAATTAAGTCTAGTAGCAGTCAAACAGGTATAGAAATCTCACACTCAGGAAATGAGTATTTATTAAGTGACTCCAAGGCAAATTGCCTATGGCAGTAGAAGCAGTATAAAGCCATCATATGCAACTGATACAACACACAGCACATATATTGGCTGATGTTATGAGATATATAATTCAACATACTGTGTTAAATTGGAGGATATTGATATAACATTGATCAATTTTCAGATGATTCTATCCACAAGTGTTGCCATCACGAGTAGGGTAACACAATAAAATCTTGAAATAAATGTATTCCTCATAATATATTAGGAGGGAAGAAGACATTTGTATGGAAGAATGCATTGAATTAAAAAAAAAAGAAGTTTATTTATATGTGATTGTTCACCCTGGATTTAGGTTATCCATTAATCTCTTTGTTTCTCCTACCAGAATCATTATCATGGGCATCCGGTAGAGTAAGATACACATTGTTATTCTTCTTGGCTGGTACAGTCTCAGTCAAACTGTTTGCTTTCTCTGAATCACTGTAAAAGAACAACCACAGGATAAACATGTTAATCATCACTTACCTAAAAGGCAGGGTATATGCTAGAGCCAGAACGCTGTAGTAGATGAGGGCTTTGACTAAAACCTAGGAGACACAGGTTCTAGCCAACCTTCAAACACGAACATTCAGTGATTTTGGGCCAATTATTTTCTCTCAGTCCTACCTACCATACAGAGTTGTTGTATCGAAACAAAGGAAGAGGAAATGCTTCTGCAGAAGAGAGAAATTTAAACAGCAGTAATAATCAGTCCTAGAAAATGAGCATCTATCAACCTTGAAAGCTGAAATGTGGGTGCATATGACAGAGCTGTGGTCGAAATTACTCAGGCAGCAGAGATATTTATCAAAAGTTTGTGTGTCACAAGCCATACTGTGCAAAAAGTTTGATAAAGCAAACTACCAAGGCAGCAGGAGGATGTCAAGTGGTGATCAATGCACTTGGATTAATTTGACATGTTTTAGCAAAGTGTGGCTTCTGCTGCTGAAAATCTGACGGGTTCGTTTCTTTCCTAGCTATGAAGTAGGGAAAGTGTGATCTCTTCCTGGTGTAGAGAGTTTTATTCTTCTCCGTTACAATGAGGAAAGCTGACTGAAGTCAAAATTATACTAGTCATCACTAGCTCAGTCCTATTATTTTGTTACTTATATCAACAGAGGGAGATTTATGGGTTGTGTGTGGTTTCTGGCACAGAATGTTTTTATTATATTTTATTATTTTTCTTTGTACATGATATTCTAACCCCTGTCGGCTGCCCAGAGTTGCCTGGAAGGTGGGCACCCTGATCATTCTCATGCACCAAATCGATCCGTTCATGGTGGAGAATATAGAAGGAATCACCTCGTGTCCTACTTTCCATCTCTATTGCGCAGCTCTTATGTACACAAAAGAATTAAGGCTGGAATAACCAAAGACTATTTTCTCAGTACAGTTCATGCTAATTACCCATAGTATTGTTCCCCATGTCTCTGAAAAATTCTGTCCTTTTGCTATAAGGATATAGATAATGTAATTTGTGTTTATTAAGTTTCCTGTGCTTTTTATCTCTTGCCTTTCATTCATCTTTTTCTCTCTCCTTCTTTCTCTCTCTCCCTCCCTCCCTCTCTCTCTCCTCCCTCTGCCTTTTGTCCCCTGTTGCCATCTAATCATGTTTATATTTGCTGATGTTTAATAAATAAACACCAAGTTATATTTTTGATAGCTGAACTAAGCAGTGTGTCTTCTTGCTCTAATCTGGATATAAGGGATTGCAAGTGGGCTGGGTGGCAACTAAACTGGAAATTACCCACAGTATTTTTCCACCAGCTAAGTAATGCTGCATACGGCCTTTGAGAGCAGCAAAAAGAGCAGACATTCCTGGAATGGAAATGCATTTTCTGTTCAGAAGTTAAGGTTTGTTTATATAACTAAAGGGAAAAAAAACTGGGATACTGCTTCTGCTATTAATAAATATAATTCTAGGAGATATTTTAAGTATTAAGTTGGTATGTTTGCACTGATATGCAATGTTTATTTATTGAATCTGTACCCTTTTTCTTAAATCAAAGGGCTTGGGACAGCATTCACTTCTTTTCTTCCCATTCTTACCCATTTTTTCCAATAACAATTCAGTGAAGATGAGAGAAAGAGTAGCTCTAATACTAATCATAGTCATTTTAGTAAGATTTTTAGACACATACATACAAACATACTATAATGCAACATCATAATTTAGAATGTTCTTTTTAAATTAAAAAACAACAACAAGCAAGATTGTAAAAGCATCACATCAATAGATCTAGCAGGTTGGACTCACAAACTCTATAATGCTTTGTGTATTTCCGCTGAAAACAATTGGCCTTAATTTAATATGAGTGACATTGTTTTCAATAGGTCCAGACTTAAATATACCTAAATAAGGATCGTAATATCGGTTTCTAGAAAAAAAAAGTGAGAAAGGCCATTTACAATGTACTTTTCATTGCAGTGTAGCTAGACACATCTGAGCGTATATGAGTCATCCTTAAATATATGTGTTTGTGTGTATATTGGCAGGAAGAGATACTGCCTAAGATCATCTGAAACAAGGTCATTTAGGGTTTTAATATCAAAACTTGCTCCTTGAATTGAGCCTCCAAATTAAATAGTTTTTAATTATATTAACACTGTAATTATGATATATATGAAAATAGTATCTCAAGCCTGTGCGTCAGTAACATTCAACACAAATAAAGTTTGAGTACATTACTGTAATCCAGTTTGTTAACCTGCCCCATCTGTCTTCTTTAAAAAAAAACAACAATCCCTATTAACCCAGGCATATGTAAGATAACCATGATTCTAGGACCAGATGGTCTATTAGATTGCCTGTATTTTGGTTTTCTGTTCTTTTAGAATTAAACTGAATTTAATTAGTATTAGTATTCATCATTTTTAAGCATGGCTGATTTATTGGGATGGTTTGACTTTCAATTATTGCTATCACTTGTTGTGAACCACTCCAGGTATAGAAATAAAATCAATCGACTAATACTACCAATGAATAATGTATTGAATTTCAAGCCCTATAATCAACCCTGAAGAGCTCCCACATAGAGAAAGCTACTGTCATCACAAGGGCATGAGTGAATGCTGATATATACTGTATTCCATTTTTATTCACTGCTACTCAATATCAGTAAATAATCAATTAAGAATGTCATTATTGTATGGTATTAAACCCTTGTCTCAAGTCGATGTATTGTATTTTATCACTCTTTGACATGAACAAGCAACGTCAATGAAAGAGAACAAGCAAGCTCTGCTAGTATACCAGTTGGTGGCATTTTGTCAGGAAAAAAAATGTTGAAGATGTTCTATGGGCTTGTGTAAGTGTCCTGACATCTCTGTCTAGCTATAGCACAGCCAGGGGTAAAAGAGAAGGGATTTCTTCTCTCTCTCTCCCTCCCTCCGTCCCTCCCTCTCTCTGCCGATGTGCAAGGATCTATGCTCTCCACGGAATAAACCTGGCAACTGGGAGTGACTTCATATTTAGTTCTAGTCTGGCCATTTGCCTTGATCTGCAATCCTGCAAAGCTATAATGAATTCTAAAGGGCAACCTGCTTTAAATTTTCAGATTTATCTCTGGAATGGAGCAGCATTGGGAAGTCAGTCCTGTCTTTGCTCTGGAAGCGGGGGACGGGAGGGGGGAAGAGGGAGGGAGGGAGGGGGGATGCTCCCTGGGATCCTGCTATTCTACAAGCAAGGCTCGGTAACCATGATGGTTATTTTCCAAGGTCTGGTTCTTAGAGACTTGGCTGGTTATATGATATTGCCTTCCTTCTCATTTCCAACTGATATAAAGTGACATGTCTTTCAATGCTTGCTTGTAGATGCTTAATGGTTTCTACAAATTTCAGGTCTCTTACTCAGGTACCTATATTTAGATTTAGGCCGGAATCCTAGACCTACTAAAATGCTTGTAAATCCACTCCAGGATTTACAAGTATGTAAGTGGGTGAAGTGCAGACATACAACCATATTTTTCTTCTCATTCTAAGTATGGAATAATAGATTTAAATTGCAGGAAAGTAGATTCTGATTAATCATTATTTAAAAAGCAGCTGAACAGTAGAATAAACTAAAGATAGGGGGCAGATGTCCTTTCTTGGATGCATTGCAATGGAAGCTAGACAATAAGGAGGCTTTAATTTGGATTCCTTCAGGCAATAGGGCAGAGGTCTCCAAACCTGGTAACTTTAAGACTTGTGGTCTTCAACTCCCAGAATTCCTCAGCCAGCTATGCTGACTGAGGAATTCTGGGAGTTGGTCCACAAGTCTTAAAGTTGCCACGTTTGGGGACTCCTGCAATATGGTATTGCACTTGATGGCCCAAATAGCCTCTTCCACCTCTATTCAATAACAACATACAATCTTTAAGAACAATATGTTTATATTGAATTGCTGTTCTCACTCAGGAATTTACTTATTTAAATGATTTATATAGCTACCCATTTCATCTGTGAACCTTCATGGCTTACAAGAATTAAAAATGCAGAAATACCTACAATATATAATCCCAGGTACCCAAGTATAAACAATAACCTCACTTACAAGGTGGTGGTGGGGGAAGTGCATGAACAATAGCAGAGCCATCAATCCACCTGACCGAAATGCTTAAGGAAACAGGTAGATCTTCAATAATAAATTCTTCCTTACAAAAAGGAAATGGGGCTGGGACCATCCAAATCTCTAGGAGAATGCCGTTCTGTAGGGCAGGTGCTGCTACCGAGAAAGCACAACTCTAAGCTCCAGCAAGGTGGCATTGTTTGAAAGAAGGGACCCAGATCATGTTCTCTCTACTAAAACTGGTGGGGTGACCAGAAACAATGAAAGAAAGATGGTAGCCACAAGTAGCCTGGCCTATGCCATCTTGGGCTTTATAGGTGATTATCAATGCCTTGTAAGGTAACTTTGAAAATGTTTAGACAAGCTAATAAACCTTAATAATGTCTCCTAGCCAGTTGGCCTACATATATGTTTGACTAAAAAGAATGTTTTTTTTTAATCTTTTGGGAAAAATTCTTTTTTTGATCATCTGGTGGTAGAGATAGCTTCAGGTCTTTGAGAATCTTGTACCAGACATACTTGTGACTGCTTCATGTATGGATTACTTATGGACTATGCTAATCTTTTTGTCATCAGGACAGCTAGATAATGGTATGGAGTGCTCCCTCCCTTCCTTTCCAGCTGCTATTCTTCTGCGGGTCCATCTCTTTATTGAGTAACTGTGGAGCTTATTCCGCTCCTGTTCCTTGGTATGTTAAATCAAGCTGGCCTGGGTTTTGAGCAGATATTATGCTGATTGACAATAGAACTAGGCATGGGTGGTATAGGGAACTGTCCCTCTTCTTAATTAGGTTGTGGTCACCAAGATAATTTCCATCCCTTTAGGAAGCTGTGATTGGGTTGCAAGCTATTGGCAAAGTTACTCTGAAGACAATCAGTTTGGTTTCTTGAAAGCATTTCAGGCTGCTAAGATGATCTGGTTTCTGGAATCTATTCCTTGTTACAGTCAATATTGACTCATTTCCACAATGATGGCATTGCTGTTGATGGAAGCAGTATCCTACAGGGACTATATTACAGATTAAAGGTGTGTTGGTCTCATATGATGGACTTCACACACACAATTACAAACAAATGCTAACTTACTACAAAGACTGGCCTAGACTGCTTGAAGTACCGGGATTTCTACTTTTTAAGTTGCTCAAGATGTGAATGATAATATACATAAGCCTGTTGATGACACACAACCATTCAGAATAGAAACATTGATGAAGGATGTGAAGAGCTCCTTCAATATATCCCCAAAATTGGTTGAATGTGATTTAAAAGTCAATACAATAATGACAGTGTGGAGAAATGTAATAACTTATGAAAATATATACAGTATATAGAGAGAAATTTGTCTCCTCCTGTCATAATGTTAAAACTCAGCCATTGAAACTAAAGGGGGAATGATTCAGGATCAGCGAAAGGAAATCCTTTGCAAAGTTTAGACTGGAGACCAATCTATATCATACAACTTTAAGTAAACAATTCCATGGATGATAGACTCATCAGTAGTTACTGTTCCTAATGAATATTGTCTCCTGAATCACAGCATTCCTTACATATCAGCCACTGAGGAGTGATAGTAAAACACCATTGCCCTCTGTCCATGCTTGTAAACTCCTTGCATGTTCTGGCTGACCACTGTGTTATACAGAATGCTAGATTAGCAAGCAGTGGCTTGATTCAATATGGCTCACATTTTGCAGCTGTTCATGAAATGTTGGGTATGAAACTGCATCAGGCATATGAACTCGCACACCCAGACAACTCTTTCTGCATCTCCATTTAAAGAAAATCCAGTTGCAATTTAAAGAAAAGCCTACCTTTGCTGCGAAACATTATACAACATCTGCCACTGATGCAACATATGTCTACAGGTCACTAAAGCCTCTTCCGGTCCTTTATGTACTAATTCCAGTTTTATTTTTGTGAAGAGTAAACTGTAATAAAAATATATACACATATAAAAAGCAAATAATAATTAGCTGTACAGATAAATACAACATGATAAACATGATTTCCATTTGTAGAGAGATGATGTCTACAGTTTGACATCCAAAATTAAGCTATTTCCATATTTTCATATAATAAAAACACACTATGCTTAGCTGATAACTGCTGCTAGCATTGCAGTCAAAATGGAGCCTTTAAAAAGACATCAGGGTGGATGGGAGAACCCTAATTATTGCAGAAATTTTAAAAAAGGGAAAAACCCTAATAGTTCACTAAAAATAAATATAAATTTTATTCAAATAATTTAAAAAAATTCAAATTGGAGCAGAAAACCAGACAGATTGGCAGAAACAACTGAGAAAAAAGTGGAAATTTTATTCCCCCCATGCATAGATGGGCTAAATGTATGGAATCAATTTTATTAAACTGATTAACAATTTGCAAATGGATTCCTTGTGCTTAATTGTTAGCATTATATTAACATTAAAATACTGTTATCATATATTATAGTATGTTCATGTAATAACAGGAAAAACTGAAAAACAAATTTTAAAACAGAAATGAAGTTAAAAAAACAATCAGGTTGGAAAACATTCTTAATTCCCAAATCTATAAATGTTGATAAGCTAATTTTTTTTAAATAATAATTTTAGTTAAAAGAGTTTACAAAGATTTAAAAAAAACTACAGAAACATCGATAGTATAGAAACAATTCTAAAAGGGTAGAACAAGTGAAGAGTTACAAAAAAGCAAGAAAAGAGGTATCTAAAGCAACAACTTTAACTTGGATTTCTTTTTTTATTTTGAAAATTTTATTTGGGTTTTCACAAAAACAAAATACAAATAAAACATCTTTTTTGAAAATAGCATGGTCCCAGGTTATCACTTCTTCATACAGACACAAAACTCAATTTCATGCTCATTTTTATATTCTATTCCATATCTTATTACCATTTTATATTTTCTACACAGTTTTTCCCCTCTTCTAATTTTCTCAACTTTGTTTTGATTATCTCAATTCAAATCATTATATTTATACTTTTGTCTGTCCTGTTACAATTTCACATTATCTTTTCTTATTAAACAATTTTTCCCCTGTAATTACCAATTAGAGTATGACACCTTTATATCCTTTAATTTTATCCATTCAAGCTCTTATTTAAGCTTCAATGTATAGCTTTAAGATTATAGCATTCAATATAATACATAACTTCCAATCAAATTCTGCTTGGCACATTCTTAAAATAGATACTATATTCTTAAAAAGAAAACATTATATATATATATATATATATGTAAATAAAACACATTCCATTCCAATTCGACTCTATCATTAATATGCATTAAAATCTTAACATCTTTAACATTTCTTTTCAATTGAATATCATACTTCCTTGGGAACACTTATAAACTTTTCATAGTTAATTCTTTCCCCCCCCCATATTTCTCACTTATATTTTTATAAATCATTACTAATAATTAAAAATGTTCCCTTTTAATTCTCTCAATCATTTTAATTCATTTATTTATTAACAAACATCCCACTGCATTACAATAAATATTTTATCCATCATCATATTTTCTAAAGTTATTTCTATTTGTAATATAACAAAGCTATCTTATGTACCTTTGCAGAATCCCTTTTACAATTAAATTTTCACCCATTATTTCTAAACAAACTTATGGTTACAATCCTTATATCTTTTCCCTGTTTCTCCATTTCTTGTTTCTGTCTTTTACAACTTCTTTTCCTTGCCTTCTTCCCCCTCTTCTTCTCCCTCCCCTTTTTACCCCCTCATCTCTCTACTTCTAACTCTCTCATCTGTAATCTCCTCTTCTCTTGCTTTCTAATATTATACTTATCTTTCAAATTGTTCCTCTTCTTTTTGGTTGTTTTTTCTAATCTTAAACATTTCACTCTCTTTCCCCCCTTTTCTCCCCCCCCCTAAAATTATTTGATCATTAAAGATGGCTTCTTCTTTGTCCCAATCTTCTTTTTCTGCAAGCGTTTCTTGTTGTTTCTCATAGTTCCAGATCGCCATTTCTAAGAATTGAAACACGAAGCCAAAAAAAACTTCTCCCTTCTTGTGCGTCTTCTTTCCATTTTTTAAGTTCCGTTTTCAGTTCTTCTAAGAGTGATACCATTTTAAAAACTTTTAAACAACCACCCAGTTAATTTTAGTCATCTAGATGCAAAAACCAAAAATCACCAAGTAATCCAAATAATCCAAGGCTGTTCTTACTTGCTTCCTTTTTCCACTTTCTCTTCCTGGGCTTCTATTATTTTGTTACCAAGTTTCCATTAAAATGTACCTTTGAGGAATCTTGTTAAAATTTCACTGTAAGTTCCTTTTAATTACAGTTCCATTCCTTAATTCCAGGCAGTCTCCTCAATTTTTCCAGATCCTGCCCTTCTATTCTTTTTTTTCTCCTTTCCAGCTTTTAAAAACTTTTAAATATCCAGAAATCTTTATTATCCCTTTGACTTTTATTTTCAGCTTAGATGCCTATTAATGTCAAAGTGGATTTTTTTTCAGTTTCTTGCTTATGTCTCTTAGCTGTCAGTATAAGGAAGGGAAGAAAAAAACCTAATCCTTTCCCTTCTCTCTCTCCTTCGCAGCTTCAAAATCTTCTTTGGGAACAATGTTGTTAAGTTTAAATTCCAGGGTACCTTATTTGTTGCTTTTGCTGTTTGACCCAGTCAACCAAAACTTTCTTTTCTTATCTTCCTCCTGCACATTCTTTTCCGGTCGAGTTCTTTGTGGTGGCCATTTCTGACCACCGCTACAACCGCCTTCAGGAAAGGGAGTAATGGCCAGCTGAGGAGGAGAGATGTGGCTCTCCTCAACCCTGCAGGCAGTCTCCCCCCTCTTCACCACCTCTACGGGGTGGCTTAGCCCTGAAACCAGCCGGCTCAGGGCGCTCCAGCGGCGAGCACGGATCGAAGCCTCGGAGAGATGAGGTTTCAGTCTGATGCCGAAGAAGCTCAAACCGGAAGTCCCCAACTTTAACTTGGATTTCTAAAGCCATACTTTTGTACACATTTAACATCATTGTGAAAAATGGAAAAAGACACACTACATTCATAGCCTTTAAACTGATCCTGCCAAAATCTTTATTCAAAGAAAACTTCATTAAGTGAGCATTACAGTGAAGGAAATATAATATTGATAATTGCCAGAATAATCCTAAAGAGATTATTTCCACTATATTATATTAATACCATATGTTTTAAGGGGAGAAACTTACAGGGGAATTACCTCAGTTCCTTGATTATTTCAGTTGATCTTTTCATTGGTTTTCTTAGCTCTACAATATCTTTCCAAGGTGTCAGCATGACTTTTTTTGCAGTTTTAGGATCTGAGGCAAATCAGCTAACCTTAATATTGCTCATCATCCAATGGGGATCAGATTGGACAAACACATAAAAAGCCTAATCACAATGTTCCCCTACAACAGTGTCAGATGTATATTAAATTTCTATGCCCCCTCTCACTAATATAGCAACTCTGGGTAGTTTTTTCCTTCACTTATAATTGTTCTTTCAAAAGATGTATCACTTATAAATTAGCACACATATATTTTATGCAAAACTTCATCCTTTTGTTGGCAATGTATAATTATTTGTCCAGTTGGTGAATGAAACCCGAGAGAGTTCCCCTTACCCACCAACCCCTTCTTAGCCTAGCACAATGCAGCATCAGCAGAAAACTTACCAAGAATTTTACAGAAAGGAGAGTTATGGTTGTGTGAATGTCAAATAAGGTCTTGAACTGAACTTTATTCTATCTGCTGAAATACATAGCTTTCTGCAAGATATATGGCAAGAAGTAGAAGTTAATCCTCAGGGCCATTAAGAAAAAATCTAGCAGAGCTATGTTCAAAATACAAAGCCTTCTATCAAATTCCATTTGGTTACATGAAGGATTACCTCTTTATACCCATATCCTTGAATAGCAACATCCGTTGACAGAAATAAAATTGTCATTCAATAAAATATGAGTTGAATATATGAGATGAAACTTTCATTGGAAACCAATCCTTCCCACTGAGAAGGGTCTTAGGTTTAATGTCAGAATATCCTTTATAGGATAAAGTAAAAGAAAGCCCAAGTCAAGAAAATGCATCTTTGTTTTAAAATATTATTTTTAATATTCATTTGTACCAAAGGTTTTCTTGAAAACAATTAAATCATGTTTGTGATCTCAATGTTTTTATAGGAATCCCTATAAATCTTTACTCCCTAACATTTTTTCATTCAAATGCCTTCCTGGTCAGATGGGAAGTGCTCAAGTGTTCCAGTGTGGTTGAGGAAATATATTTTGCCATTTAGCAGTTTAAAGGTTTCCCCTGACTCTTGGGAGCGGCATTCATCTCCAATGCTTAGCTGAAGGAGCCTGCATTGTCTGAGATGTTTCCATCATCATGTGAGCAGCATGAAAATGTGGAACGATGCAACTGTCCTGCTAAAGCAGTACCTATTTATCTACTTACATTTGCATATTATTGAACTGCTAGGTTGGCACGAGCTGAGGCAAATAACGGGCGCTCACCCGGTTATGCAGCGCTCAAATGTTGAACCCGTGCTGTAGGCTTTCCAGATGACAAACTCAGCATCTTAACTGCTGAGCCATCACGTTCCCCGCTTAGTAATCATCACCTTCACCTTTGCAAAACTTTTCAGATTTCACAAATGCATTAATGTCCAGCACAAATTGTGCACATCCATTAAACATGAACATAAGAGTTCTTGCTCCTGGGTGGAATTCTCCCATTTCTTACTAAACTGTGCCATGAACACCTGAAAAGCAGCATCCTTCACAGAATTTCAGTGCTCAAAGGTTCAAGGATTCCTATCCAGATTCCCCAGTATTCAGTTAGCTGCTAGAAAATAAAGGACTATTCTTTTTCCTATTGGCCAGCCATTTTTATTAGGTCTGTTGAGAGGATTACGGGAAAGGTAGGGATGTGAGAAAGGGAAAAGAAT